CAACTTTCAGACTTGTGGACTTCAACTCCCAGAGTTCCTCAGCCAGCTTTGCTGGCTGAGGAACTCTGGGAGTTGAAGTCCACAAGTCTGAAAGTTGCCAAGGTTGGAGACCCCTGGTCTAGACTCTCCTTGTTTAGAGAGGATACCCAAAGAGGCATGGCAACGAAATTGTAAATTCTAGTTTTTGGCATCCACACTGCTTTGCTTTGCTTCAATTATTTTTTAAACACAACAGTGGCATGTTTGAAGTACACGTAAAACACTGCCAGGAAACAAAACAAAAATTCAGCACTGCTTGATTGTTCATTGAACTCCACAGGGTATTCTCCCTGGGTGTTTTGACTAACTTTTTTTGTTCATTGCTATGAGGAAGGGAGGAACAAATTCTGACTTCCAGGGCCCATTTTAGTTTCTTTTTGTTTTAAAAAAAAAAGCATAAAGCAAAATTCTAAGAGCTGAAATTCCGCTGTATTTGGGTGGGTGCAACAGGGTGAAGGAACATCTGAAGGAATTGAAAGCGACAGAAAATTGGCAAATGAACAATAACCGGAGAAAGCCAGAGTTGAACAGCAAAACATGTATTGTTATCAGGTTTCACTAAGAGGTAAATAACAAAAGCGAGCTGTGTTCCTACAAAGAGAAAGGAAAATATGCCTGCATGCAAAACTGCATATGGTAGCAGAAATGTGTGGAATAGCAAACATTAGATTCCAAACGCCCTTTATTTAAATGCTTCTAAATTATGTATGATATGAGAAATGCACATTAAAAGGTGATTTCCGTAGCCTCATTGTTTGTTTTCAATTGTGAACTGTTTGGAGCATGGAATGAGAACAAAGTAAGGGGTGGGAAGATACAATTTCATCCATACCAAAGCCTTACAAAGGTGCAGAGAAAGAAACAAGACCTGTTGATTGTGCAGAATCACAATGTTGTTTTTGCTACCAACAATCTCCTCTAACTCTTAAAGTGTCCCCCCCCCCCCAATTCTTAAAATCAGGGTAAACTAGACAAACTGAGAAACATGGCTGTAGACATTCCTAGACCATGTATGTTTTCACTCGTATATTGCTGGATATTTCTCTGAATTGTTTTAATTTTAAATTTAAAAAACCCATATTAATTTGTGTATTAAATTTATCGGCTGCCCAGGGTTAACTCTGGGCAGCTCATGATGTTAAAGAGGATAAAACTATACAAAGCAGCAGGGAAGGAAGGAGGTGAGATCTGCTATCGAACTATCAACCATAAGACATTATCTGCACATTTTGCAAATCCAAAAGTCTCTCTTGGGAGTGGGAGTGATGCAAACCAACGTTTTGCAAACTTGGCAACTTTGACATGAGTTGGGTGTCAATTCCTAGAATCCCCCAACCAATTGGGAAACTGACATCCATGGAGTTGACATGCACTCATTTTAAAGTTGCCGAGTTTGAAAAACACTGGTTTGCATCATTAAATTTAATGGTAAAATGTTAAAAGGCTGAATCATGACTCTTGCTCTGTATGACGTCCTAAATTAGAAATACAAAGGATAATTATATGACTTTACTTTCCAGGGGTTTCATGCAACCGTGAAATAAAAACAACGGCGGAGATATTTTTATACAACCAGTTTAACTAGTTGTTTCAGTCTGCAAAGACACCCCCCCACAAAAAAAACGCCTATCATGAATATTAAGGATTATTTTGAAAGAATTTGTTACAAAGGTTCCCAGGACAAAATAGACTTGGAAACCTTAACTGAGGTTTTTCAACATCACATCCATGCAGTGCCCTTTGAAAATCTCAGCCTCCACTGTGGCGAAACCATTCAGTTGGATTTAGAATCAGTGTATGATAAAATTGTGAAGCACAATCGTGGTGGATGGTGCTTGGAAAACAACCAACTTCTGTTTTGGGCCTTCCAGATCATGGGCTACAAAGTTGATCTTTTAGGTGCTCACGTTTATGACCCAGAGCGAAAGGCCTACTATCCAAATTTCACTCATCTTTTGATCAGAGTCATTCTTGAAGGTAAAACCTACATTGTTGATGGTGGTTTTGGGACGGATTATCAGATGTGGCAACCGATGGAGTTGATTTCTGAGAAGAACCAACCTCAGACCCCAGGAATCTTCTGCTTCACGGAGAAGGATGGAGTGTGGTACCTTCACAAAGTGAAGCGCAAGCAATTCAGGATGGATTCCGAGAACAAAATTCTCTGCTCTGATGTTGTAAAAAACATGAGCTGCAAGAACATTTACTTCTTTACCTTGCAACCAAAGACAATAGATGACTTCCAGCCGGCCTGTTTACAACTCCAAACTGATCCAAATTCTATGTTTTTAAGGAAGTCTGTCTGTAGCCTCCAGACTACGGATGGAGTTCTAGTTTTGATTGGGTGGGTGCTGATTGAAACCAAATATAAGGATGACATGGATCTAGTAGTAAGCAAGGTCCTGACAGGTGAAGAAGTGCCGAAAATACTGAAGGAGCGATTCAAGATTCAGCTGGACAAAAGGTTTGTCCCGCTTAACACCTGTTCAGTACACAGGTTTTAATTCAGGGGAAAATGGGTAAACTTCGCTCAACAACACGGTTCATCCTAAAGCAACAGAAATGAAGTTGGGATGCAGCTTTGGAGAAGTCTCACCCTGGAAAGATCCAAAGGGATGTTGGGCGAACATTTTAGAGAAGATGCTGTATTTTCTTGGGCAGATTTGGGTCGATTTAGAGAGCAAATGAAGCCCTTTACGCAAGTTGAATTTGCTGGCTCTAGGGATTTGCCACAGGGTTAGCGATATAAGTCTACTTTGAAGTAGGAAAAGGGATAAGAAACCTTTTGTTAAGATTTCAGTTTTGAGTTTTGACTGGGTCTGAACTATCTCTAGCTTCAGCGTAATGGTGAGATTTTAAATCAGTATCTTTCCAGTTCTTATGTAGTCTCTAAAATATATAGGGAGTCCGAAAGGCCTTAGATCGGGATATATGACGGCATGGAATCTCCTGCTCTGACTTTAACATCATCTAATGAAGTTCTCCAAAAGTGGTGATATAAGGACCAGACTCTCTCCCCTTCAAATGATAAGAATGAACTTTTGGAAACTGGCTATTTCAAAAGGAATCCTTTATTGAAAAGAAAGACAGCAAGTCCACCTTCAAAGCAGGATCTGATATCCTTCCAGGCATGCAGCTTAAATAAAGGAAGTTAGAATCCCTCCTCCCCTTAGTCCGATGTGTATTTTGTCAATACAAAGAAGCAACATGTTAATTCCCCCCCAACACACACACACCTTTTTTGGGAAGTAGTTGAGAAGAGATTCCCAGGAAGTTTCTTTGGGAGCTGGAATTATTATGGCACCTTCGCTTGCTATCTCTACAGGAGGTGACAAGTTTCCAGGCTCCAGCCCACAGTTGTAAATCATGTAAAGGTCATACAGATTAAGTACAAGAATTAGGATATTCAGGCAACATCAAAAATGATTACTTGTATACACCCCCTCCTCTTCTTCTTCCATTGAAGAATGGCAGACACACGGATCTCACAGGTGAAGATGGAAGAGCTTTTTCTGTGGTGCCACCCCAGTGACGGAATTCCTTCCCCAGAGTTGGTCTCTGGGCATCTATATTAACATCAATTGTCCTGGGCTTTTTGTGGCTTGTAATTGTATCTTGATTTTTTAAATTTTTTAAAAATTTTAATTATACAAATACAACACAATACATCCAACTTATTCTTGTTATTTTACTTAATCATTTATAATATCATTAAAATATTAATTACTAATTAATCTAATCATAACTACTAGTATTTTGACCTTGTCTTCTCTTATATAAACATTTATAAAATTCATTCCATGTTTTGTAATATTTAGACTCTCCTGTGTCTTTTATTTCTAAAGTTAAGCTATCAGATTCTGCACATGCCATAATTCTCATTATTTCTGTTTCTGGAGGTATAATTTTATTTTTCCAATATTGTGCATATAATATTCTAGCCGTCGTCAATATGTGCATTATTAGATATATTATTTCCTTTTTAAATTTTTCTGATATTATTCCAAGAAGAAAAAATTCCGGTTCAAATGGAATACATTCTCCCACCATTTGTTCTATCCATGTTTGAATCAGTCTCCAATATATTTTTTGCAATTGTATTTTGATTCTTACCTTCTGAATGATCAGAGTGCTTCCGCTAATTTTAGATGGTGTTTTTAACAGTGCATGGTATTTGATTTTATTGTATGTATATTTTACTTGGATTTTTGTGCATGGGTACATGCCTATTGGGATATCTACTAAAATAATATGAAGTAGTCTTGATTGTTCTCCCAATTAAATGTTTTACAAGTGTTGTGACTCCCTCCATGTGTGAATTCAGCATGGGTTTTAAAAATCGGATTCCTTTTACAAAATACCTGGGTTTGCTTGCCAGCAAGGAAACTATTAAGTCCCAAAGAGTCTGATATAAAGTTCCTGTGAGAATACAGCACACAATTGGGCAACGTTGAGAATAGCAGTCTCCCAAGACAACAACGATTGAAACTGCTAAATCATGCCTGCAAGAAGTAAGATTCTCACTATAGTCTTTGCATCAAATGGCAAATTGAAAATCACTTCTCGTTTTCCAATTACCCAGCAAATTCTAATCTTAACTGAGTTAGAACGTATGGGTTTATTGCTTTATATCTTGCCAGGAGCCATCCTGAGATCTCCAAGGGGTCAGAGAACGTGCTATAAGAAACCGAGTAGTGAAAGTACCATCCTTCTCTGTGTTATTCTCTGTAATCAAGGTTTACTTGAACTGATCAAGTCACAAGTCACAGTCTAATAAGGGGGATAAAATGGTGTAACTGCTAAATTTGTACTTCTGTATCTCAGTCCCCTTATTATTTTTGTTGGTCTTCGTTGCACTCTTTCTTCAGAGAGACTGATGCTGCCCAACTCCATAACTTTCCCAAAAACCTCAAGATAGCTTGCCCTACCAGTGTTGGTTGCTATTGTATTTTTCTCAGTTCTTGGATGAGGGTATTGTTTTTGTTTGGTGGTTTGTTTGGTGTTTATTCCTGCTTATCTGGCTGTTGGCTGCTGGAGAGGATGTGTTTTGGGCACTGAATTACCAAGGAGAAAAACTCTTGTCCATCAACACTAGCAAGGCAAGTGCTGTACATCCAGGGAATAAACCCCACACCAAAAATGATTACGATCCATAGCACTAAGACTTTTGTGGCCTCGTTTTTCAGCACATCGGGTGAAATACCAGTCATGCATCATCACAAAATCTCCAGAACCGTAAAGCCTACAAACTTGAAATTGGGCATGTATATTCCTCTTGGCTTCTAGGTGCTGACTAAGAAAGGAGGATTTTTCAAAATGACCGTCAGATAATTAGTATTTGTATATTATTATGAACACTCTGATGCTAAGGAGTTCTACTCCCCCTCCCCACCTTGCAAAACACAAGCAGAGGAGTTTGTTTCAGTTTCAGAACACCAAGCAGCTTTAGAACAGTTGAGCTAAGCCACGCCCAGGCTCCTTGCTGTCTCCTTCTTGCTCACACAGCAAATACTGCTTCAGTTTCCAAACAGCCCTCAACTCTCTCACACACTGACAGGAAGCTAGCCAGATGAATACCTATGGATGCTGGTAGGCAGAGGCAGAATTCCCCCCCACCCTTATTTTCCTCCCCCCAAATTAAGCCCGATCACATAGTTTTGTAGCGAAGCACGGGTATCAAACTAGTTTCTTACAAGCCTGTTCTAAGTCTAAGGCCATGGTCTCCTGCTAAGGATGCTAGGATTTTTCCTACGGCACAGCTTGTATGGGATGCTGAAAAAAAAAAACTGTGTTTCTACCTTGAATTATTTCAGAGCTGTTGCAATATATCCTTCTGGAAAAAAAAATAAATCTTGAATGGGCTTCCTGGAAGGCAAATGTTAGAAGAAACTAATTAAAAACGATAGGACCGTGAGAAGCTTTTTGGCCTTATAGAATTCAGAGTGATGTTTCAAAGAAGTTCCAGAGGAAGACGAGAAACAGGGCGTTAAGGGACCACTTGGCTGTAATTCATGATTTATGAGACTCAGCATTAGCCATTGGTTCAGATGGATTTCAGAGGAATTCGGACAAATTCAGAGAGACAATGTAGTTGGATGCATTCTACGGGGGAATGGCTGCAGGAAACAATTTTTTTCTTTAACATTAAGCTTAGGATTTTTCTGGAAAACCTCTGCATCCAGGAAAACTTCTATCCAGCCTCTAAATTATTTATATGTTTTTAGGCCCAAGCAGAAGCAGCAGGAAAAAAAAAAAGCAAAAGGAAAAAAAATGGAAATATTCCATCAATCAAGTCCTGGAATGGTAAGAGAGCTACTGTCCTGGTTCATCTATCTTCCTGATCAGAAATAATGTGTTTGTAACCTTAAATGTATGCAATATAATGGGAGGGAATATTCCCAAACACAGATACCATCAAGGACTGGAATGTGTAACACAGGAGATGGTAATAATTTGGAGAAATTATAAACACCTAAATACTTAGCAGGACCTGTACACTGAAAGATCGCATCTTTTTTGTTTCCTTCGTAATTTTGGATTGTAGTTATTGCAAATGGAAAATGTCTTCATGATTTCAATTCTGATTTTCTGGGTGCAGAGTTTGCAAAGAGCATGTTTAATAAACTGAGCAGGGAATGAAAATCCCGTTAAATCCTTAACTGGGAGGAAGGGGGGGTGGGGGCGGAGAATGTTATCAGTTTAATTAAAAGTGCCAATATTTGCAAAGACTTAATTTCCAATCTCTACTAATTTCTGTTTATACACATTTTGGTAAGACATGGGAGAATTAATTGTAACAAAGGCACAACTGAGCAACAACAGTGTATGTTTGTGTGTGTGTGTGTGTCTGTGTGAGACTGGGCGTGTACGTTAAAGTGTTAAAATAATGCTTGGAATTTCCTAAGCTTCCTTTCACATCGTATGTCCATTGTTGTTCACCTGCCGCTTACGGCGCACTGAGGTCAAAATGCAGAAGGGCCACTCCAGGGGCTGTTAAAAGTGTGCATGGTTGAGCTGGAATCCACCTCCATGGAAACTGGATCTTAAAAATCCAGTTTCTGCAACGAACGCTAAGGATCAAGCATGACAAGGAGACCCATTTGGCTTCGTTTGTATAAATAATACAGAAGAGCATCGCTGGAAGAGTCCGTTGCGTTTGAGCAGCTTGTGAATTCAAAGAAAGAAATCATCACTTCATAAACTTTCATAGGGCTGAAACATAAATATCTGGGGATGTTTGAGTTGGAGGAGGAGGGGGCGGGAGAAGGAAGAGGAGGGGAGGGGGAGGAGAAAGAGGAGGGGAGGAAAAAGAAGAGGGCAAAGAGGAGGAGGAGGAAAAGGAGGAGAGGAAGAGGAGGAGAGGAAGAGGAGGAAAAGGAGGAGAGGAAGACGAGGAGAGGAAGGGGAACAAGGAAAAATAGAGGAGGAAGAGAAGGAGGAAAAGGAGGAGAGGAGGAGGAGAGAAACAGGAGGAAAAGGAGGAGAGGCGGAAGACAGGAAGAGG